GGGTGCGGGGGAGGGCGCAGCGCCTCCCCCGCAATGCAAATCAAATATAGACAGCGCTGGGCTGCTTCGTCTCTTGATTGGTGTAATTGGGTGTCAAAGCTCAAGGTGAAGGTCTTATCATCCAACCTTGTGGCAGTGTCAATGCAAAAAAGATATATAGTCAGCAGAAGCAAAAGCCAAGGCAGAAGCAAAAAGCAAAAGCAGAAGGAAAAGCAAAAAGCAAAAGCAAAAAGCAAAAGCAAATGCAGAAGCAAAGGCCAAAAGCAAAAAACAAAAGCAGAAGCAAAAGCAGAAGCAAAAAGCAGAAGCAGAAGCAAAAGCAAAAACAACAAGCAAAAGCAGTAGGGGAAAAATCACAAAAAAAAATCCCGGAAAAAAACCTGAAAAACAATCCCGGAAAAATAGGGGTTCCCCAAGAAAGGGCAGTTCGTCACAGTGCTGAAACAGCGATCATTATTTTAGAGAAATGTGCAGTTGGTTCAGATGTAGATGGATTGAAGGTCGCTTAGCCTGTGGCTGCGCACGGTGGATCCGGAGTGGTTGGCTTGAAGGTGCAGCAGAATCAGCAGATGTGTTGTTGACTTTTAACATAGACGGGTACGTTTTGGAGTATAGAGACCCTCCAACTATGGGTTTTGTTGTATGTTCATGTTCACAGGTGTCTTCTTGCTCTATATACGCATATGCTAATACGCATGCAGATTGGTGTTTGAAAAAAAAGTGTGTTCACATCATTTTCGAAAGCGGCGGTTCGGGGCGTGCCCAAGTTTCCATTGAAGTTTCGATTTTCGTCCAGATCTTCCCTCCAAACATCATGGATTCCCTCCAAACATCTAAGGAAATCTGGCCAAGCAGAAGGATCTAGCACTCGAGCTGAGCCAACTACAGGCCTGGCCTTCGGCTGGAAAAGTTTGTTTTGTTTTTGTGAAAGCAGTTCCGTATTGATATTATAGGGAAAATATTTCAGACATTTTAAGATGTTGTTTTTGGACATCCTTTAAACATCAATTTTTGGATGTTGGCGTCTATGTTCGATTTATTGATGTTCTTGTACAGTATACATTACATGGAAGTGTAAGTCTCAGTGTTGAAAAGGAGTTTAATGTAAAGCAGAGCTGAAACAAGACCTAGAAACAGAAGCAGAGCCTGAGAGTCTTTGTACATCTTGCATCGGACTGCTACAGTAGTTTAACAGCACATCATTGTATAGTGACTGACCATATGAGCTGTGTGTGAGTTGTTATATAGCCATGGCCCTGACAGAGTTCTTTTTGCTTTGCCCCATGGTTTCCTTTTTGCTTGTACCGGTAGGATAATTACCGAAGACATCGATGTGTTCTTGCATGTGGCCCATCTAGAATGTTTTGAGCACGTCGAGGAAGATATCCAGAGAGGGGGGCAACAGACCATGGTATATAATGGGCGCGTCCCAGTGAACCAGTACAGTATAGCCTACAGCTGTCGGCAAGAGATTATCACTAATTGTAGATAGTGTTTGCAAGTCTGAGAAAGGCCTGCAACCTAACAATCATAATCCACTCACTGTTAGTGGTAATGGGATATACCCGTGTTACACACCATGTACTTGGTACCATGCTGTTCTTGCTGGCTGTTCTCGGCTGTGGCATGGCTGGTGGCTGGTGGTTGCAGAAATTGTCCAACGGCTCACCGAAAAGATGTGCAAGAAGCATTGTTAGGGAAGGCATCCAATGGCATTTTGGGCACCCGGCTGAGGAATCCTGAATCATGTTTGCAATCTGGAAAAACATCAAGGCTTTGCTTTACGGATGTGTTTCCCATCATATATCCGCTTGCTTGATTCCATTTGTAGCATAATCCTTCTTCTAGTGTCCTTTGTAGCACTACATCTTAGGCAGTTGCTCACATCTCAAAATGAAAGACATAAGGCCAATGTCCTGATTATTCTTACATATAGGAGCCCCGAAAGGGTCGGGTGAACCGAGTTTGCTTTGCTCGCACCATTGGGCCCCTTGGGCCATGGTCCATGGTTCGGTTTGTACAGAGTACAGACACAACATGACAATACCTGACACAACTAAATACACAACGATTTTCCACCATTGGGATATACAGATATTTGGACGTAGATGCATTTACCATCAACCTCTCCAAATGACCCCGCAAAGGGTCCCAAGTACGACCTCTGTCAAAAAGGTCATACCATTTGTTTGTTCGGAAACGCCATCAGGGCCTCTTTTTCCACCCGTTACAAGATGTTACAAGTAGCTGTTTTATCCCAGGTCCCAGGTGAAACGTACTTTAAACTGGCACTGCATCTTCGTCCGCCCACGAATCCACGAACATCAACTCGCGAAGGCGAATCGGGAAGAGCTGGCGATGCTGCGCAACGCAGACCGTCACGTGCTCGCAACGGGGGATCCCGGGACATGTCCCCGAAGAAAAAAAAGGTAAATATGAATAATTATGGCTGTAATTATCCCTTTTCCAAGTTTACAAACTGAGATTCTAGGAACAAGGTTCGCTTGTAGGGGCTCCTGGCATCGCCACTAGGAGCAAGGACGCTACTAGGGGCTCCTGGCCGTACTACTAGGAGCAAGAAGCTACTGAGATGTGTTTGATGTTTTTGATGGGGTCATTGAGTCATGATGTCATGTGTGCTTCGAGGCAGGTGCCCGTCAGGAGCCGCGCTTTTGGGTGCCCGGTTGTCTTTGGGACGGAGGAAACTGGGTGCGAAACAGTGGCGAATGAGTGAGATCAGTTAGACCGGTTCTGAGGGAAACCACTGTAGATCCAAGGTCAAGTGACCTTACAGGACCCGTAACCTGGGGTACTTATGGGATAGTCTCTATATATATATATATTATATAGGATTCTTCAACCTTTGTTGGATGCCACTGCGATTGCTTTGTGAGTCGACTGCCGGAACTCGTGCCTCAGAGAATGCGTACAAGATGGTATATACAAGTACCTGATTTTAGAGGGTCACGTACTTTGGATGGTGTAGGTATAGGCATTTCAAGAATGTAGTTTCCAATGGAAACTCTTGAATCCACCTATTATGACAATGACATTTTTTTGGGGGATAACAGTACTGGGACACTGCTCAAGAGGGCAAAAGGGTAACATCCCTTAATCCTCCATCCATTGCCAGCTATCTCCCATTTTCAGCGAAAACCAGGTGATTTCTTTGCTCCTCACCCCAGTCTTCCCAGTTTGCACAACTACAGTGTTTTCAGAGGTTCGATGGCACCCCAAGTTCGATGGTTTTGTGGACCCATTGGGCCATAGAGGACATCTATAGGGACGTCGACCCTTGGGGTGCCAGTGCCATCGAACGAAACCACTGGGCCTCGAGCAACGTGAAATGTTTTGTGTTGTTTTTTTGTTTTTTTTGTTTTTCCAAGGTGCCAAGAAAGCCTTTGATCGAGAGACGCTGGCGACGGCCTGGAACGCAGATATTCGAATGAAGAATATTTGGAAAGCCATTGAGACTTGGCGTGAATTTGGTTTGGTCCGTTCGATTGGCACCAAGAAGAATCGTACATGGATGCATGCAACATCATGCAACCGTGTCAGGGAGTTTAGAACACAAGTATATAATATATTATACATATTTGGGCAACGTTCTGTCTTCTTCAATTGTCCAAGAGAATGTGGTAGTACGGCATTTGGGAGCATTGACACGGCATCTGGGAGCTGGTATCAGTGTGGAGGCTTCCCACAGCTTCTGACTTTTTCAATAGTGAACTTTCTACAGGCTCCACTAATTTGTCGACGATACTGCATGATTTGGGCCCCATTCCCATCGGAGGAATTCTTGACGCAGGGAAGCATGATGTCGTTCAGAAGTCCGTTGAGGTGTGGGGAAGCCATGGCAGACTGCACTGTTTTGGTGTATAGTATAGATAGATGTTAGGGGAACCCTTCCTCTTAGTGAATATCTCTCCTGCTCTTGCTGAAAGGAGAAACCCAGCTTCTCATAGATGGCCAAAGCAATCTGAATTTTGCGTTTCCTGCTGGCTGCTAGGGGGAAGTTGGCACATACCGTAAAATTAAGAGCGTGTGAGCCTTTAAGTTCAACGGGAAAGAAAGAATATATGCCTCCGATTCGAAGCTAACCTGCCCTTGGACGTCAACTCAGGAATCCATCACCGTCCCTCTATGTCCCGCTCCTGACACGTGTGTTTTTCTTTATTTTTCCCCTGCAAGCTATCCCATTGACCATACAGCATGTTCTTTTCTCAACCTCCTCTGGATTCGTGTAGACCTCTTTGTCGGCTGGTTTCTGGACTCCTTCTCCTCGCCTGCCATCCCAGGACAATCACAGCAAGGTGGCCAACAAAGGACCATCCAAGGCGGGCTGGTTGAAGCTTCGGGCGTTCGGCCACCGAGCCCGGATGGATGGTGTAATGACCTTCGATGTGGGCTTTGTGAGTGCTTCTGCTGGGTGATCGCCAGGGTCGGAGCATGGCTGACTGTCATCTTTATCATGCTGCATGGGCTGCATGGGTCATTGGACCCCATGAGTGAAGGCCTTCTGCAAATTGGTATAAATGGTATAACTATGTATTTATAGATTAACCCTACTGGACATCACTGGACAACCTTTGCAAGCATCCAGAGACCCTTGTATGGCTAGGACTTTTGCTAGACTGTTCGACGGAACTTGCAGTCCTCGTATGTTCCAATGTGCTTCATTACACGTTTCGTCGTTTGGGTCGACTCACTTTTCAAGCAGAGCAAACACGTGCTGTATGTTTTTCAGCACCACCAGTGTGTGTAAGAGGCTGCAGGCTTGTGCAAAGTGAGCAACTTCCCAAGTAAGAGGAACTTGCAAGACCTCCACCAGGACATTCCCAGTGACCGAACTTCTATTGGGAAGTGACCAAACTTACAGACCTGTACAAGTGTCCGCCCCGCCTCTCGGATCTCCGCCGGGTCACTGGTAAGAACCAGACAGTAGTTCCGTTCAGTTCGGCCATTCAAGGAATGGTTGACCTGGTGATGGAGTGTAAGAATCTTTCGTCAAATTGTGGTTCTTTGGTTTTCAGGCCATCAAAACGATCGATGCTTGTTGGAATCCTAGGGTGGTCTGAACGTCCCTTTCTTCTCACTCGCACTCGATAGGTGGGTCTCGGCGACGCCCTGCCCCCGTCACGGGCGGGCTCCACCTTGTCAGCCGGGCGCATCATGACTGGCAGCTCGTCGTGTGGTACAGGGGGTCCTGAACGACAGGCTCAGAACAAATCAGTTGCTTCAAAAGGGGTCAGTTGGTTGACATACCATGACATACCTAGAGCCTGACTGCATCTCTAATTTTAGACCACCAACCACCCAAGATATGTTGGTCTATCAAAACCGGGGTCATGTCGGGGCTTTGGGTATGAAAAGACATATTCCATGCGAAGCACAAATCGGTCAAGCCCTCGCGCTAAGTGGCTCTTTTGTCAGAGCTGGAGTGAAGGTGCTTGTGCCAGCAACATTGCACACGGTTGCTGTGAATCGGAATTGAAAATTCGCATAGATCCCAAAAATTTAAATTTTAATATGCGAGATGCACTTCTCCTTCATGTTCTAGGGAAGAGAGTCCTTTTGACTTCCTTTTTCTTCCTGACATGAGTTCGGAGTCGTAGACTATGCGCCATTTGCAGTTTCTAGAAGAGAAGAGAAGACACTGATGAGGTTCGGTTTCTTTCGTCAAACTATTCGCTAATTGGGAATCACCATTGACCCACCGAAGGAGGGTACCTGCTTGTTCCATCGACTCTTTGAGGCAGAGACTTTCGAGATCGCTTCTCTTTTCAGCTCCTCTCAGCGTCAGCATGGTCTGGGAAAGACGATCGTATAGATTTTTGGCATCAGAGATGATCACTCCAGGAATCTTCATCACATAATTGTCTAGGTTCCTGATTTCTGGAGGATGCCCCAGAAATTCTGCTAGCTGAAAGCGTACTGCAAACATCTGGTCATCTCCATCCACTGCGGCTCTCGTCTCCGCGGCGGCACTGGATCGACAAACTCGAGTGATCTTGGATGAAGACCAGTAAATGGGACTCACCCTTTCAAGATCTCCATCCAACAGTCGCTGTGATGAGCATCCTACTATCACTCCTTTGGTACTGCTACCATCAGGTCTGTTGGCATGCGCAGCATCGACCCACGTTGCCACAATTAGATCTTGAGGTTGAATGGGATGGATGAACAGTTTTTGTCTTCCACGTGATTTTGCTCGCTTCAAAATCTTGTTCACTTCAATCAAATCTTCCACTGTTGAGCTATTCAGTTTGGATAGCATCAAGCCCACTGGAGCACAGGAATCCATAGCAAGTTGTCCAGCATGCCATGAAAGACAACCGAGAACACTTCTCATTTGCTGTTTTTCCGAATCAGTGGTTGTGTCCTCCTTCTGATCCCATCTCTTCTTTGGGATGTGAATTTCATCAACACCGGTGAGGAAGTCTTCTTGGCTTAGGCAAAAACCTCCATTTGGTTGAGCAGAAATTTGAACTCCACATTGTGAGAAGTTGTCTTTTTCCCATTCTTGCCAGCGGAAGCGGTCTTGTATTTGTTTGCGGACTCCTTGCCAACGAGAGTCTTTCAGGTCGCCTGCAAACATGAAGTCGTCCACATGGGAGCATATCCAACCAATTGGTTTTTGCTGTTCATCAAAAAGGCCCCATACGCAAGGATCACTCAGCTGTCTTCTAAAGTTGATTGACTCTAGAAACTCATTGATGGTGCAATACCATTCTATGGGTGCTTCAACTAACTAGGCCATATGCCGCACGAGTCAACCGGGTCACGCTCCCTTCTGGAAGATTGAGCTCCTTGCAGATTTCTGGCAGTGGTTCACAAAGAATTTCTCGATTGAATCTTCTGCCTTGAAGAAAGGCTCCTGAGACGTCACCCTTTTCCACTGAGAATCCAAATGAGCACGCCATTTGAAGAAACAGCTGTCTGGAAGTACGAGACACTGTGGGACTCGCTGAAGGTCGTCTCTCATATTCTGGGTCGAGGAATCCTAAAATCACTGCCCGTGCTTTTGCTTTCCTTTCATGGGTATCCGGGTTGATTTTCCATGTCAAGACCCATCTCATCCTCAGAGCCTGGGATCTGTCTGGCCGTACTCCTTTTGGGAGTTGTTCAAAAACTTTGGCCAGGACAAAATTCTTGACCTCCACATGTTTTGCTGCTGCGAACAACTTCTTCTCTTCTTCAGAGAGAAAACGTTCGTTGACCTCTACGTGGTTCTTCTTGATCTGGTTGGTGACAAAACAGGTGAAGTCTCTAATCCATGACTTTTGTTTTCCACGAGGTCCACTTGGAAGGTCAATCTCAATGCTTAGGCAAGCATGTTCTTGAAGAAGATGTGAAGAGGGATCTTCAGCTGCTAGTTGGATGTAGCCAATGTCCGCTCCTTCTTCAGGAACAACTTCTACCCCTTTCGTCTTCTTCTTTGCCCTAAATCGAGGGGCTTCCCATTGTCTCTTCCGCTCTGGATGATAAGGTTGTGGAGGTGCAATCTGCTGCTCCCGAATGGATGTTGTGGTGTCTTCCTCCATGGGAAGTGTTTCATCCATGGGAATTTCTTGTTGCTCAAGTTGGTGATCTCCAGTGTCATCTGGTAATGAGGGACTGTACTCTTCATCATTCAAATCATTCAGGCTCTTGAATTCATTCCAGTCTTCCAGAATGTTCTCATATGTTTTCCCTGCGGGCTTGTCTAGGATGTCTGAGATCGTCCAGGACAAAGGTTGATGAGGATCCTCAAGCTCTGCCCAGGCCTTTTCTCTAGGACTTGCAGGACGGATTTGTTGAGGAGCCGCTTTCAGGAGTTTGTTGCCTCTAACTAGCCACACAATGGAGCTAGCTCGAGCTGACCCATCGGATTCTTTTCTGGTTTCAACGGCCAGTACTCTTGCTGGTCCGAGGTATTTTCCTCTCTTGAAAGCGCTTGAGCCATGGTTTTTCGTGACTTGATATCTCCAGTAAAACACGAGGTCACCGGGAGTCACTTGTCTCATTTGACGATGTCCAGAGTCCAAAGCTCGACGCAAGCGTTCTTTGTTTTGCTCTTCAAAAAACATTTTCTCCGCTTCAATCATAGCTTTCGTGTTTTCTCCAAATTCAGCGGAAATACCTGATTCCGTAAGAACGGGTGTGTCACAAAGTTGTCCCGGGGTCAAACGTCCAGTGATGTCAGGATTCCTACCGAAAGCATGTTGCAGGGGAGAGAAACCTAAATACTGATCATGAGTATTCTGGGCCCACAAAGACCTAGATAACAGTTCGGAGGCTTTCATCTCCGGAAACTCAGCAGCCAAAGCTGACATGGACTTCTTAGTAAATTGCACACATCTCTCGATGATTCCATTTTGCCAATGAGCCTCTCCCGGAATGGTGTCCACCATGATTTGTCGGTTTGAAAAATAATCATCCAACTCTTTGCTTCTAAAGGCTCCGGCCGGATCCAGCCGGATTGTGACTGGTTGACCAAACACAGGCTGCCAGTGAGATTCAAAAAAGGAAATCAGAGATTTGGCCGAAGGAGAAAAATTCTTTCCTTCGTGCAGAATTCCTCCAACACGAAACCTGGAACCTTCGTCAATCCCCAAAATCATATGCACCGTTTCACCACTGTTGGGATGCTGCCAGTCCGCTCCATCGAATTGCACTCGTGTCCACTTCGGCGGAATGTCCGACAACGTTGATCGGTTTCGAGGCACAAGTTTCACGTTTTCTTGGCAGACATCACACTCGAACTCGTTCACTAACCTACATACCTCTTCAGAGACACCTCTCTTCTTCAAGGCCTTGTAAAGGTAGTTTCTACTGCAGTGACCAGTGGCTGAATGAATGCGTTTGATGTTTTGCAAAGCTTGGTTTCTCTCCTCTCTCGACAAAACGCACGCCGTTTCCCCGTTTTGTTTCGTTTGTTCACTAGGGTCTTCGTTTTGCTGTGAATCAGCTTCCTCACATGATCTGACGCACTCAAAAGCCATGGCATGTCCAGAAACCCCATCACAAAGTTCCCCCAACAGACTTTCGTAGTTGTCTCTAGACAAGGCCAACTTCAAAGCACGTTTCACAAACTCGGGAGTGTAGAAAGCAGTACTCCTACAGGTTTTCGACCCTTCACATGTTCCATGTTCATGATCTCCTGAGCACCGAAGGTTCATGTGTTCGGCGAAGGACCTATTGTTACTCTGGAGCTTCCACCCCTTTCCGAGTAACTTCCCCTTGGAATCCCTCAAGGACACTTGACACCCTTTACACACAGCTTCGAAGACCGGAACGTGGCGAGCGAGATCCGAGAAACATGAGTGATTCCAACCTTCACAGCGTTCACTCAGTTCTAAAACAAACATGCAACCCATTTCATGAGCCTCTTTGGCAATCATGCACGCTCCTTCATATTGGAGATCCGCCTTCCGGCGTTTCTCCTTCAGTTGTTTTCGTTGTTCAGGGGTTCGTTGATTCAAATGTTGTATGGGACTGTATGGACCGCACTCTGGAGAGATCCACAGCACTCTTGGTCTTTTCTCGCGCAGCAAGGTCCGAATGTGCTGACGTCCTGTATATGTTTCAATGTCACCTCCGTTCCAGTGAGCAATGCGATATGCACTCCCGACACCAAACAGTTTTTCACATTCAGAAGACAAAACAGAGTCAGGCTCACAACAAACCTCCATCAAACACAACCTACCTTGATCAACCAAGTCCTTCCAGGACTCACAAACCAGAGTTTTAGGATGGTGTCGCAAAAACTGAATTTCCTGATTGCTCAACACCGAGAGGTGCTCATAGGTGGAGCCCGGACTCACTGTGGCACGGCAGCTGGTGGTGGCTTCTCTGGAGATGGGCGGCGCTCCTTCTTGGATCTCTGAAGGTCTCGAAGCCTGCTCTCCAGCTGTTGGATCTCTAGCTCTGTCTCTGAGATCATCTCCATCTCTGAGGAGTCGTCCGGCAGGGCTCCCTCCGAGATCAGGGCAAATGAGCTGTCCGTTGAGGCACCTGGGATCTCCTTCTTCTTCTTCGGGATCACTGGCTCTTTCGCGGAAGAGCTCTTGGGCTTGGTGCTCCCCTTCTGTCCCTTCTGGTACCACTGCACGAACCTTTTGAGGCGCCAGTCGCTGGTGCCCTGAGCTCCCCCTGCCTCCTGGTAAGTGGTGGTTGCCCACTGAATGTATTGCCAGTCTTGGTGAGCCACTTCTGAGTAGGTGAGTTGGGAGTGTTTCCCAAATCCCATCACTTCTGATCCACGGGGACTGTGACTCTCCAGGATGTGGCGATGACCCAAGGCCAGCAGTTGTGCGATGGTCTCGTGACCGGAGATCTTGATGCCCTGATCCTTGATGTAAGCCAGAAGGTGGTCCTTCTTGCGAGCCGCCTTGTTCAACTCGGCGACTTTGCTCTTCTGCATGGCATCTTCTTGCGGACCATTGAGAGCTTTCAGCTCCGCCAGGCGGCCTTCCAGTTGAGACCGACCCCAGGATACTGGAGGTGTTTCTCCAAACTCCTGGATCTTCTCGATGAGGCCGGCTTTGCTCAGAGCGGGCATTCTGGCGTACAGGATCGAGGGTAGATGGATCAGTCACTTCGTGCCAAAGCTGCGGTGATTCCCAATTCACTCTCGAAAAAGGATGCATACAACAACAATTCAACACAGACAAATGATCAGAACAGAAACAGTTCACATTACTCGACATCGACTCCGATATGTGGAGAAGGGATGAACTGTCATCATAAAAGTTCCCCCCCTCAGCACTTTTCGACGGACATGACAATGAGGCGTCGACTCCATTTGGCTGAGGAGGTTGCTGTCCCTATTCTGTACCTGCATCTCGCAAACTCAAAAAAGGTTCACTCCTAGCAAAACTACCAGACAAAATGTCTGTGGTCAATGGAAACACTTGGTGGCCCCCAGGTGTGGTTTCCAATTTGATCACTTGGCGGGGGTCCACTGACTTCAAAATCATTTCATCACTCTGGAAGTCAATCACTGCTCCCAGAGTGCGCAGAGCAGAAATGCTCAGCAACACAGGTTGGCCATCAATGTCATGAACGTGAATGTTCATGGTTCCACTCGTCCCTCCTAGGGGGACAGCAAGCTTGGCAGTGCTCAGGCATTGCTTCTGACCACCGTTTCCGAAACGGAAGTTTGGTTGGTTTTGAACTTCAACCTCAACCTGTGGAGTCCAGGCATTGGCTGCCTGAAGGTTGAGGATTTGGTCCAGAGCTTCTGAGGATCCCACTGAGGATGTCGCACCACCATCAATGATTGCTTTTCCTTCAGCTAGGATCTGGGACAGTGAAAGGCCAAGTTCCTGTGTAGAGGTCGTAGCTGATCGTTTCGGCTCAGAGCAGCTGCCATACACTTGGAAGGCCAAGTGAGCGGATTGTTGCCCGTGTGATCCACCACTCTTCTGAGGACATTCATGAGTGGAATGATTGCCACCACACTTGAAGCATCGTTTCACTGAGGTCACCTCCGTCTTGAAGCGGGTGGTCGTTTCACGCTTGCCTGGGAAGAATTGACGACTCTTCCGGAACAAGCTTTGCTTCTCCCTTGCCTCCTTCAAGGTCCTTCGAGCACCTTGATAGGCTTGAAGTGCAGATTCAACCTCAGAGGAGAGATATGAGTACTCAGCTTGATCTTCCTCAGGCGGTTCCCACTCATGTAGGTCACCTTGATCATCATCATGGAAAAAGGCTTCCTCATCATCATCCACCAGGAGGACTGAGCCTCTTTGATGGTCTCGCTTCTTGAGGTCGTCATCTGGCCAAGCAATTCGGAGGGCACTCTTGACATGTTCCGTTGTGAATTGGTTCTTCAAATTGGCGATGATGGCACCACGTTCTGTACTGTCCAAGCCTGATCTTTGCAGCAGCATCCATGCGACAACGAAGTCTGGCAGAAACTTGTCAGCTTCCTGGGATGCTGCTTCGGACACATCATACTTGGACTGTCTGGATGATGGAGCCTCTGTCGATGTGCCTTCATACCAATCCCAGTGATTGTCATGCCAGGATCGTGACCAGGAAGACCAAGCATTTCTCCCACGCCAGTAATGGTCTCCCGGTTCCACCCAAGCATCGGCTTCACCGTCATGGTCCTCTTCTCCTTCATCATTCATTCGTCCATCATCACGAAAAGGTGGAGGATCTGAGCGCGAACTTCGAGATCGGATGTCATCCCGATCATGCGAGGCTTGTGACCGACTCGGTCGGCCTGTGCCGGCACTAGTCGCTGCGAGGCCAGAATGAACATGATGGAGGTCCCCACCCCCATATTCATGGATGGCTTCTGCGAGAGTCCGGCGAGCATCATACAGTGGTGTCTGATGATCCACTCGTTCATGCTTTCGCCCTTGCGGCGTTTCACACTGTAGAAGAATCGGGAGATGGATTTTCCAGCTTCAGCTAGAGTTGGAGATTGGATCTTCGTCTTGAGGAAATTGAGCAGTTGCAGCGCACCTTCACTATGGCTGATCCAGCCTGGCAGCTGATGCTGAACTGCAACTCGAGCTGATCCTTCTAAGGCCGTCTGAAGACGGGGTCCAGCTAAAACACGTTTCTTCCATTCCAGAGTCTCTACATAGTTGAGAGCTGCCCTTCTGTAGGGCACATACTGTTCAGCAGTTCCATCGAAGATGGGAATGCCATCTTTGTTGTATCGCAGCTCGGCCATGGCTGCGTGACACTATACAAACGGGGTCCCTGGAAAATAGGATACCTGGCTCCGATCTTTCTCGAAGCCAGGCTCCGCTACCATGCGAAGCACAAATCGGTCAAGCCCTCGCGCTAAGTGGCTCTTTTGTCAGAGCTGGAGTGAAGGTGCTTGTGCCAGCAACATTGCACACGGTTGCTGTGAATCGGAATTGAAAATTCGCATTCCATACATGGAGTGTTTCTGTTTTTGGTGGATTTCCATCCTATTCGTAGGAGACGTTTCCAGCCAAAGACCAGGACTTGCCAATGGACAGCATGGGTCTCTTTTTTGTTGGTATGAGTCATGAGCCATTAGGGGCCATCATCCGCTGTTGCAGTAAGTGACCCAATTTGTAGAGGCAAAGTTGAGGAATGGAAGGGAGAGATGAGCCATGACATGCCATGACCTGTTTAGTCACGACCGGATCAACAGAAGAGACAACCGTCCGTGATGATTCTTCTCTTGATTGGCTGGAGTTGACAGGTTTGAGACCGGGGTTTGACAGCGTCTGCAAGTTTTCCCGAGGCTACCATTGATACACTTAGAGGAACACATCACATGGAAGTGGAGAGCCAGCTGTTTGTAGAGGAAGCATTGTCATCCAAGGGGCCATTCTTCGCTTCCATGATGATCTAGATTCTTTCAGGGAGTGTATCGGTGTATGATATTTTGTGACGACGGACTTTTGAAAATTTTGTATGGTTTTGCTAACCGTGAGAATTATTGAAATCTAGAACCTCCTGAAGACTAACATGGCCATTGTCAGGGTCCATGTTAGTTTTCCGGAGAGTACCGTATTTTGCTTGGGCAGCAATCTGTCAGAAACCTGTTTTTCGGGCTATTCCACCCCCCCAAACATTTGTCCAGTCAGACAAGTTGCAAGAACTCGCCACCTAGCTATACTTGGCTGACCACTTTGTCAGCTTGGCAGGGCAAGGGAGGGCACACAAGGACGGTTGCCTCTTTATTTTAGTTGCAGATCCATGGTCTGAGGTTGTTGCGAAGTCACAGAAGTCACACAATGTTAGTTTCAGTGGCCTTGCAATCGGTTTGGGGGCGCTTACACTCCCCTTGTGTGGTTCAACTTCACGTCCACTTTGCGCTGTGCTGCATTCCTGATGTGTTTTATTGCTGTTTTATGATCGCAACAAACACTACTTTGTTTGGTGAGTTGTAAAGTCATGATTTGTGATGTGGTGAGTTGTAGTATGGTGACATGCAGTGTTGTGAAGTTACCATCACGATAAGTTCTCCAATAACGACCATCCCGCTCCCCCTACTGATCTCAAGCATTTGATAGACAGCCAATCGAAGGACTGTCAAATCATATCACATCACTGAAATTGTTTCCTATTTGCATAGGCCTTGAGATTGACATCTCCTTGATTCTAAATTCTAATTGTCAACTGTGAAGCCACACAAATCATCCCAAGCGTAGTTCCTGCGCGCAAGAACAACAACTCATGTGTTTGTTTACTGTATGTTTCCTCCGGGGGATGCGATACAAAGCTTCGTGCTTTCGCGACTGCTTTCAGCGAGGTTCAGCGAGGCGCACACCACTGGGATGCTCCACCTCCCTCAGTCAACTAGAGGCTGGACGTATCGGAGAGTTGGCTCGGGATTTCTGGAATAATAGTAGTAGTAGCAGGCAGTAGCAGTAGCAGTAGTAGTACTAGTAGTAGTAGTAGTAGTAGTAGTAGTAGTAGTAGTAGTAAATAGTGGTAGTGGTAGTAGCAACAAATTATACAATAGTAATAGTCACAGGAATATTATAGTAGTTGTGCGTTGTTCGTTGTCCTTGTCGTTCTTGTTGTTCTTGTTGTTGTTGTTGGTGGTGGTGGTGGTGGTTGGGTGGTTGGTTGGTTGGTTGGCTGGGTGGCTGGGTGGCTGGGTGGCTGGGTGGCTGGGTGGCTGG